CCCGCGGGTCCAGCTGGCGTATGTCACCTCCTGGGCGTCTCCCGCATCAGGGCTCTGAGGGAGAGAGCCAGGGCAGGTTAGTGTGGCCGGGGCAGAGGAGAGGGGGCTGTGGGAAGGACAGACTAGGGCGGCCGGCTTCCACGTGGCCCCGGTGATCCCACCTCCCGAATCTCCATTGTGGAGTCCCCGTCCCCATAGCATCAGGGTTCGACTGTGCAACAGGTAAAGGGTGTCCCAAAAGTCACGCAAGATTTGAATTTTGCGTGACCATTAACAACAACAACAACAAATAAAAGCCTACTTTTTCTTGGTTTATTGAATCAGATTCTAATATCTGTTGCCCTTTGATTTCAATCCCTTCAATTTGATAAGCATGACCAAGTACCAATGATGGCCCAGGAGCAGGGACAATGAAGACCAATGAAGACCAATGAAGACCAATGAAGACCACGGCTTTGCGTATGTGCCAGCAAAGCCGTGGAGGCCATTTACCTGATGTGCTATTCCATACGTAACCCTATACTGTATACTTTATAAATCCATAAAAAATTTACAATTTTTAATTATAAACCTGTGTTTTCTATCAAAATTACTTCTTGCGTGAATTTTGGGACACCCTTTAGACTATGACAGAAGGCAGGGCATGCCACCTCCATGGAGAGGCCCCAAGACACATGGGCTCCTGCCTTCCCTCCCTGGGGCCCCGCCCTCTGGGGGAGGCGGCTGCCACAGAGAAGCCCGCGTGTGGAGGAACTGAGGCCTCCCGCCCTCCGCCTAGGACAGTGCCATCTTGCACGAGGACCTGCAGCCCCAGTCAAGCCTTCGGATAAATGCAGCCCATCATCATGACAGCAGCCTCATGAGAGTCCTCAAGCCAGAACCACCCAGCAGATTCAATCTGCTTCCAAATTCTGGCCCAAGAAACTGAGATATTTGTGTGACACTGTTAAAGCGGGGGCAGTTTGGCCCCAGCTGGTGTTCCTCAGTGGTTAGAGCATTGGCTGCAGATGGAAGGGTCACAGGTTCAATCCCCGGCCCTGGACCAGGCGTGTGTGGGAGATAACCAGTTGATGTTCCTGTGTCACGTCGATGTTTCTCTCTCTCTTTCTCCCACTCCCTCCCTCCCCTCCCCTCTCTCTGAAAAATCAAAGTTATCCTCAGGTGAGGATTAAAAAAACAAGTTGGGGTTCATTGCCACACAGAAATAGGTGACTAATCCAGGGACTTACTGGGCTCGGCGTCTCCCTGTTTTTCTCAGGAGGTGCACAGACTGTGGCCTCATCTGGGGGGAGAGAACAGTGGTCAGTTCTTTGGGGTGAACCTTTGCAGGCAAATTTGCCTGGAACCTCACGGGTTTAGGTTTCCACCTCCAGCTAGAACAGCGGTTCTCAACGTGTGGGTCGCGACCCCTTTGGCGGTCGAACCACCCTTTCACGGGGGTCGCCTAAGACCATCGGAAAACACATATATAATTACATATTGTTTTTGTGGTTAATCACTATGCTTTCATTATGTTCACTTTGTAACAATGAAAATACATCGTGCATATCAGATATTTACATTATGACTCATAACAGTAGCAAAATTACAGTGATGAAGTAGCAACGAAAACAGTTTGATGGTTGAGGTTCACCACAACATGAGGAACTGTATTTAAAGGACCAGAAGGTTGAGAACCACTGCTCTAGAACATCCAACACTATTGCCCCCTCCCCATTACATCCTCAGTGGCACTCAATGCCTGGTCCCCTTTCCCCAAGCGGTTCCCTCTCCTGTCCCTTACCTGGGGTGCCCTCTGTGATGTCAGCAGCCGGGTTGAGCCTGAGGAGAAAGGACAAGTGAACATGGGGGGGAGGGGAGGGAGGTGGGGGCTAGAGGCAGAGAACTGGGAGGGGGTCCGTGGGTCATTCTGGGGGTCCTCACCTCTCCTGGGGCCTCTGCTCCCCGCCTTTGCTGTGGAGGGACTCTGAGGACAATCGGGGTGTGGATTAGGAGGGAGGCCATCTCCCCAGCACCCCAAACAGCCTTCCCAGGTCGCCCCACCCTGGCCCTGAGACCTACCGTGTTTTCTCTGACGCCGGCGACGGACTAAGAGGAGGACCAGCAGGAGGAGGCAGAGGAGAACGGCCACGGAGGTCCCAACAAGGATATACACGTATTTGCTCGACAGGCCTGGGAGAGCAGGGAAGATGGAACCAAAGTGTCCGCAGGATGCACGTATTGAGCACCAACTGCATACCACACATAGGCTGGGTGCCTGTTGTGTTCACGCTTATGCATCTAATCTCCCATATGCCTAGTAGCCCTGTGGCACGGTACCCATCATCCCCATTTCACTGAACCAGGGTCCCGAGCGCGGACGCCCTCTGTCCACAGGACGTGCCCAGAGCTGAGGTGACCAGCACCCAAGCCCATTCTCTTCCCTTCCCCCCGAGGCAGGCTCCGGGCCCAGGTCCTCGGTCCCCATCGCTCACCGCCATTGCTACCGTCCTGTGCACGGGCCTGTGTGTCTCCTGGGAGCGAGGAACTAGGCGGACATGCGTCCAAGGCCCGAGCTGGACAGAGGAGAGGCTTGGGGTGTCCAGGTGCCCCCAGGGAGGTCTCCCGCTCCGGGCCCTCACCTGCTCCCCC